CAAGCACTGACGTGGTTCATGACGTCACGCCAGGCACTGACGTGGTTCATGACGTCACACCAGGCACTGACATGGTGTCATGACGTCAAGCCAGGCGCTGACATGCTTCATGACGTTACGTCAAGCACTGACATTAGTTTTAAGACGTTATGCGGAGTCAGCGGCGTAAGCCAGTATGAAAGCAGCATCGCGCTACTATTGTGACGTTGGTGTTGTGAATGTCGCTACCTGACGGGGCGGAACACTATTGCAGTGACCGGACGGTCCGTCCATAACGTCGGTATTACGTCATGACCGAAGTTCTTTGCAGCAATGTTACGAATTGACGAAATCGATGACGTAAGGACGGGGGGGGGGAGGGTAAGGAATGAAAATACGGCAGGGAGAGGGAAAGAGATATGGCATTAGGGATGTGTGGCCGGGGAAAAAGGTGTGGCCAGTGAGGAAGGTGTGGTCAGGGGGGGTAAAGGGTAGACGGGGTGAGGGGAGTGAGAGAGGGGAGGTGTGACGTGAGTGTACAGTGGTGAGGGTAAGGCGAGGTATGGATCATCACGCTGGGAAGGAGGCTACCTACCTCCCTGCTTGACACTCCAGCTCTCATACATGCAATTTGAAATCTGGATTAGGCTCAAGAACACAGATATATATTGATTTGATAGCCCATACGCCCGTGTCGTGAGGCATACATGCAGATACATGCGCAAATATACATGTGTGTGATGTATGACTGCAAGTTACCTCTACATATGTTGGTTGTTGTGTTGTGGTGCTGGTTGTTGTGTTGTGGTGCTGGTTGTTGTGTTGGATGCTGGTTGTTGTGTTGTGGTGCTGGTTGTTGTGTTGGATGCTGATTGTTGTGTTGGATGCTGGTTGTTGTGTTGTGGTGCTGGTTGTTGTGTTGTGGTGTTGGTTGTTGTGTTGTGGTGCTGGTTGTTGTGTTGGATGCTGGTTGTTGTATTGGGATGCTATTTTTGGTGCTCTGCCATAGATTGTGTTGTTACATTACTGGCACTGTGTTGTGACGCTGACACTGTAGTTTTGTGACTGGCACTATGGTGTTGTGAGGCTGCAACTGTAGTGCTATGTCGCTGCTGGCAGAAGTGTCTGTACTAATGGTGTGTGGTGCGGTGTACGGTGCTCTGTTATCTCATAATGGCTCTGGAAAGCACCACCTCAAGTCCCAAGTCCCAAGTCCCAGACCAGTCCCATAAATTGCAAAGGAAAATTACTAGAATAGCAGTTAGGTAACAGGAAAGTAAGTATATATATATATATATATATATATATATATATATATATATATATATATATATATATATATATATATATATATATATATATATATATATATTATGTATGTATATATATATATATATATATATATATTATATATATATATATATATATATATATATATATATATATATATATATATATATATATAATGTGAGTAGACGTGTGTAACATTTTCCTACCATTTTATGTGTTCTTAAGACATTAAGAATTATGACCAACAATCCTGCCAAAGTGCAAAATGTTTAACACGGGTTCTCGTTGACGGCCGTTACAGGACGGTCGTACCATACTGGGTGGGGGGAATATCTCCCAACATATTAGACAATGCTAGTGCTGTCTCTCTGGTCTGGAGTGAAAAGGTATTGAGGGGTGGAGGTGGAGAACTAAATCAAGCCGCAAGCTAGTCAAAAGTTGTGACATGTATATGAGACATTGTCAGCGGAGCTTAGATAATTGAGGGCTAGAACAAACACCGTGTACACTATAGTTATTTATTATATAAAGCAATAGTTCCTAGGCCTTTTGTGTATCCATATGCTCTTGGATATGTTGTGGACAGAAAACTTCAATGGCAGTCTAAAATCAGTCTTGAACATGGGGACTAATTATGAACACTGTGCCTGAATGAGAATGACAACTTCTGTAGTATACAGCAAAAGTTGCTTGACTGAGGACATTAGCGTGGGTGGTGGGATAAAAAGGGGGGGGGAGGTGTATTTAGAGCGAGACACCCTCCCCTCCCCCCCCCACCACACACTGTGCCAAGACGTTTATTGTTCGCACGGTGACAGCGCGCACTGGGGGAGGGACACGACGAACGTAAATAACAAGCGTGTGATTTGTAACTTTTTCAGCGAGGACAGTGCCTTCCCCGCTGCCAGACGTTATCCTCCATTCTGTGTACTTTTTTTTTTAAACCATTGGCCACAAGTCAATATAGTTTAAAATAAGTTTTAAATAAAGCAAGCTAGCTTGACATTGAATAAGTAATATTTAACTTGAGGCTCAGTAAGTTATAGAACTTACTGAAAAACTAATGTCTGTGGGGAGAATAAGTTTTACTCCAGCTGCAGATAACAAGGTGAGTACTGTCAGTGTGTCTGAGTCGTGCTTAGAGCACGGAGGATCGAGCCTCCATCACTTCTTAACATTATTATTATTATTATTATTATTACTTCTGTAGATAAGTTAACCATATTATGACGTATGTTTGACGTTGATGCTCATTATTATTATCATTTATTATTAATTATTATTATCATTATTACTGATATCATTATTATTATTGGTATCACTATTATTATTCGTATTATTATTATTATTATTATTATTATTATTATTATTACTATTACTATTAGTTTATTATTGGAATTATTATTATTACTGGTATTAACATTATTATTATTATTTTTATTTTTATTATTATTATTATTATTGCTTATTATCATTATTACTTCTGTGGAAGTAGTAATGATATTAATAATGTTAATACGAGTAATAATAATAATTCCAATAATAAACTAATACGAATAATAATAATAATAATAATAATAATAATACGAATAATAATAGTGATAGCAATAATAATGATAATAATAATTAATAATAAATGGTAATAATAATGAGCATCAACGTCAAACATACGTCATAATATGGCTAACTTAGTCACGTTCAATGTTCCCATGTTGAAAAATAACAAGAATTAATATAGAGAGAGCTTAATATAGTATATAATATAGCATATCTTATTATATAACTGCTCACCGTAAAGAACATCCATACTTACTCATGCGCCTACGACATACAAAGAACACTACACTCCAACATAAACCCTTCACTCATACTTCTCCTCACCAACCTTAACAGGACACACCACCATAATACAAGACATAAATCACTTTTTGATGTACCCCGTGTCCATATCACACTGTAAAAACTCTTTGCACATGAAGAGCCCCAAAATTTGGAATACATTACCAGTAAATGCTAAAGTAACCCATTCTGAACATCAGTTTAAGACTTCTCAAAAACCACGTACTCACTAAAACTAAATACTCAATACTCAATATTTAACTTTACCAAAAAAATCTCCCAATTACCTAAATCTGAAAACTTAAAAACTAAATGCCCAAAGTTCATAAATTAATACTACACTGTAGTATAAATACCTACCCAATTGTAACATTCTCATACTATAAACTACTTTCAACAACTCACAATAAAATATCCCATAATATAATTTAAATATTTACTATTATATACAAAACCTACAAAATACTTTCAACCTGTCAGAATGTAATATACCCTGATTGTAATTTGAGTAAACTTAGTCTACTATAAATAAAACAGATGTACAAATTAACAAATAATAATCAATTTCTCTAGTATTAAGTAGTCTGTAAGCCATTAACTGTAATCTGCCCATAATGCCAAGGCATGATAGTGGTTTTCTTTGCACTGCTACTCATTATTGTAATTACATAATCTCAATGTACTCTTGCTAGGAAATAAATATTTGTATTTGTAAATAAAAGAGGGGATGTATCGAAATATAGCCTCTTCTTCTTCGTTGTCGTCTTCGTCTTCTGCTGCTGCTACTGCTTCAGCTGTTTCTGCTGTTGCAGAAGTATCAAGTAACAGTCTTCCACGTGTTAGAAAAGGAACGCCTCCCCTTTATCAATTATCATTCTCTCTTATATGTGATGGTAAACAGTTTTCGAAGCTTAGGTAGCAAGTACTCTCTCTCTCTCTCTCTCTCTCTCTCTCTCTCTCTCTCTCTCTCTCTCTCTCTCTCTTTCTATTTAGCTCTTGTGAGTGTATGAATGTACATTTTTTACTTACCTCTTTGTAATTAGACTAACATTGTTGGGTCAGTTACCCTACTGCCAGCGTATTCAACCTCCAATAATGTTAGGTGAAGGAGTTCAAGCAATCTCAACGTGAGTGACATTACTCAGGAGTGACGAACTCTGGGCTCCTGGACCAAAGTGAATGCTAGGCATGTTTTTTGGTAATAAGTTAGCAGACTGTGGGAATTCTTGGGGAGAAGAGAAGGGGAGGGAGTGTGTTTGGTGAGGTGGGTGTGTGAGAGGGAGTTTTATGTGTGTGTACTTCTCTATATGTGGTTGCAGGGGTCGTGTCACAGCTCCTGTGTGTGTGTGAGGGGGAGCGGGGAGGTTCGTTTTGTCATGGTTCATGGTAGTTCTCCCTCTCTCCCCCACCATCGCTGTTGGCCTCAACTCCTCCCATCCCTCTATAAATACGTACAAGAAATATAGAAGTGAAGGCCAACGCGATTTCTTCCTCTGCTCTTCCCTTCTATCTCCCCATAAATAGTCCCTTTCCCCTTGAAACCTCCTTCCCGTTTTACTCAAGTTTGTCCCTCTCTCCTCCTCCCCTCTTTCCCTGCTTCATTACGCCCTTCCTGACCTTTACGAGTTTTTACTGTATATTTAAACGTTTCGACGAGCCTTACAGATATTTTGAAATACAGTCAACATATATATATATATATATATATATATATATATATATATATATATATATATATATATATATGTGTGTGTGTGTGTGTGTGTGTGTGTGTGTGTGTGTGTGTGTGTGTGTGTGTGTGTGTGTGTGTGTGTGTGTGTGTGTGTGTGTGTGTGTGTGTGTGTACACAGAGACAGATTGCATCACTAATAACGTGTGTGTCTGTGTTGCAGGAGCGCCGTGGTAAGCACATGTAGCGGGGGACATGAAGACTCGGGAGACCTTCAGGACCGCAACAACAACAACAACAATAACAACAAGAATAACAACAACAATAACAACAACAACAACAACAATAACAAGAACATCACCATGACCAGCGAGGACCTCCTTCAGCCCGGACACGTCGTAAAGGAACGATGGAAAGTGGTGAGTACACTCTTATCTACTGTATGCTAAATTAGGCCCATGCATTCAATAGGTCTTAGGCCCAACGCCTATTGAATGCATGGGGGTTATTATTACCACATTTCATCTACATACTAACATCAAGAATACTGGAAGACTGACAGCCACAGTACCGTGGAGCAAATCACAACTAACTCAGAAATCACAGATGGAAACTAGACGTTTCGGGCCGGCATGGACATTATACAGATCCAGAAAGGTTCGAAACCTCGTCTAATATTCATTTCCAATTTTAGGTTACCTGTCAGTCCCTGAAAGTAATTAAATAAACACTGCGTATATACACTGAGTACTTCTCGATTTTTTTTTTCAAATCGAACGAAGAAGAGAGAGAGAGAGAGGAAGAAATGAGAAAGAAAGGCAGAGAGAGAGAGAGAGAGAGAGGAAGAAGGGAGAAAGAAAGACAGAGAGAAAGAGTAAGGGAGACATTGAGAGGAATCCGTTTAGTATGTAAACCACCAGGCGTCAGGTGCCTGGGTAGCTAGGAACCAGGATCCTCCAGGTGGCAGCCCAACACTCCTACACCTGCTCCTCCGTGACATGGAAACGCACCAGAAACAGCCATACATCAGAGGGCAGCCAGTGCTATTATACATCAGGGTCACGTCTGGCGTCAGCTGTTACTACTACATATCAGGAAGCAGATGGTACTGCTACACGTCAAGGGTCATGTCTGGCGTCAGCTGGTACTACTACACTTCAAGAGGCAGCTGGTGCGCCTACCATACCTCTAGAAATCAGACTATAGATGCGTGGTGAAGCTTGTTAGGCTGGCTGGAGGCGCTGCTACCATCAACGCTACAGATAGTGTCAGTCTTGCCAACATTTATCACGGTGTAATACCCCACCGCTCTTCAGGGTGCCACTTCCGGGTGAGATGGTGCCGCCGCTTGCCATGTGCCACGGGGTTCCACTGTGACAGCTCCCTCAGAGGTGCCACTGTGACAGCCCTCTCAAGGGTGCCACTGTAGCACTCTCAGGAGTGCCACTGAAATAGACACTGGCTGGTGAGGTAGTCTAAGAGCTAGCCCAACTGTGAAGTGTTTACTCCGTAGAGTTTTTCGCTGGGTATTCCCTTTATTCTGGTGAAAGAATCTTGATTCAAGGAAGTGCAGTTGCCTTCCTTGGGCGAAACCTAATTAACCCTGATTACAATGGTACCTGAGTACTTTTGGTTTTTTTAAGTGAGAGGTTTACTGCTACTACTACTATTGGTACTACTACTACTATTACTACTACTACTACTACTACTACTACTATGCTAATACTATTACTACTGCTATTGCTGTTATTGCTACTACTACTACTGTTACTATACTACTACTATTACTGATACTACTACTACTACTACTACTGTTACTATACTACTACTATTACTACTACTACTACTTCTACTACTACTTCTACTACTACTATTACTTCTACTACTACTATTACTTCTTCTACTACTATTACTGCTACTACTACTACTACTACTACTACTACTACTACTACTATTACTACTATTACTACTACTACTATTACTATTGCTGCTGCTGCTGCTGCTGCTGCTGCTGCTGCTGCTGCTGCTGCTGCTGCTGCTGCTGCTGCTGCTGCTAACAATAATAATAATTTATTTTCCAAGAAGCTACATTTGTTACAAAGGTTGCCTACTTTCAGAAGCTCACATTTAAGACATATCTGGCATTTCCTCTCAGGTTAACATTTGTAAGTCCTGTGTTACAATGGCGACATTTTTATATTTAACTTCCCATCTTCCTTATGTATTAGTTATTTTAACTTGCACTCGACTGCCCGAAAATACAATGACAAAGCGTCAGTTTGCAGGGCTCGTGTTTATTCTGACTACATTTGGCTCAGCCATTAGCTTCAAGTCATGATCGACACTGAGAGAGACGTCGACAGAGTGAACACTTGTGTTCATGCTGTGTTTCCATACAAGAAAGTTTTCATACTTGTCCACTCTCTTGTATGGTTACACTGTAGGTTTCTTGTAGCTCAAGCTTGTAGGCCAACAATACGGAGCATCACTCTGAGGGTTTTCTAAACACGAACGCATAATAAACTTAGATTTTGCAACACGTGTACTGCTTGCAACAGTTATTCATCGTTTTCAAAAGTGAAAAACCTCTGTTGAAGAACAAGCGGCACATACAGAACAAACAGATCATAAAGAACAAGCATTTAACAGGGAGAACGTTCCACTTGTTCCGTAACCTGCGTTGCTTGTTTTCTTAAGTGGAAGTAATGTGCTGTGTCATCCAGAAGTCTCCGGCGTTGGCTAGTTCATTCCTGGCAGAGAGTCAGGTTCCAGCCAATCAGGAATGGTGAGGCAGTCAGGTTCCAGCCAATCAGGAATGGTGAGGCAGTCAGGTTCCAGCCAATCAGGAATGATGAGGCAGTCAGGTTCCAGCCAATCAGGAGTGGTGAGGCAGTCAGAATAGTGAGGCAGTCACGTTCCAGCCAGTCAGGAATGATGAGGCAGTCAAATTCCAGCCAGTCAGGAATGGTGAGGCAGTCAGATTCCAGCCAGTCAGGAATGGTGAGGCAGTCAGGTTCCAGCCAGTCAGGAATGGTGAGGCAGTCAGATTCCAGCCAGTCAGGAATGGTGAGGCAGTCAGGTTCCAGCCAGTCAGGAATAGTGAGGCATCCAGGAATAGTGAGACAGTCAGATTCCAGCCAGTCAGGAATGGTGAGGCAGTCAGGTTCCAGCCAGTCAGGAATGGTGAGGCATCCAGGAATAGTGAGGCAGTCAGATTCCAGCCAGTCAGGAATGGTGAGGCATCCAGGAATAGTGAGACAGTCAGATTCCAGCCAGTCAGGAATGGTGAGGCAGTCAGGTTCCAGCCAGTCAGGAATGGTGAGGCATCCAGGAATAGTGAGGCAGTCAGATTCCAGCCAGTCAGGAATGGTGAGGCATCCAGGAATAGTGAGACAGTCAGATTCCAGCCAGTCAGGAATGGTGAGGCATTCAGGAATAGTGAGGCAGTCACGTTCCAACCAGTCAGGAATGATAAGGCAGTCAAGTTCCAGCCACTCAGGAATGGTGAGGCATCCAGGAATAGTGAGGCAGTCAGATTCCAGCCAGTCAGGAATGGTGAGGCATCCAGGAATAGTGAGGCAGTCAGATTCCAGCCAGTCAGGAATGGTGAGGCATTCAGGAATAGTGAGGCAGTCACGTTCCAGCCAGTCAGGAATGATGAGGCAGTCAAGTTCCAGCCAGTCAGGAATGATGAGGCAGTCAAGTTCCAGCCAGTCAGGAATGGTGAGCATCGGGAATAGTGAGCAGTCAGATTTCCAGCCAGTCAGGAATGGTGAAGGCACGTTCCACCAGTCAGGATAGTGAGGCAGTCAGTTCCAGCCAGTCAGGAATGGTGAGGTAATCAAGTCGGAATGATAGCCATCAGGTTCAAGCCAGTCAGGAATGGTGAGGCACAGTTTTGAGCAAGTCGAGAATGGGAATGCAGTCAGTTCCAGCAACGAATGGATCTGTGAGTCGTCAGTTCACCAGTCAGATATGTAGGTCAGTTCCAGGATGGTACTGTAGTGATCAGAACCAGTCAGGATGTAGGTCAGTTTAACAGGAGGATAGTGAGATGTCATTAGACATCAGGAATGATACTGTAGTGTCAGTGTACACCAGTGTATGATACTGTAGTGTCAGTGTAACATCAGTGTATGATACTGTAGTGTCAGTGTACACCAGTGTATGATATGTAGTGTCAGGTTACACCAGTGTATGATACTGTAGTGTCAGTGTACACCAGTGTAATGATATGTAGTGTCAGTGTTACACCAGTGTATGATACTGTAGGGTCAGTGTACACCAGTGTATGATAGTGTAGTGTCAGTGTACACAAGTGTATGATACTATAGTGTCAGTGTACACCAGTGTATGATACTGTAGTGTCAGTGTACACAGTGTATGATATGTAGTGTCAGTGTACACCAGTGTATGATATGTAGTCGTCAAGTGTACACCAGTGTATGTACTGTAGTGTCAGTGTACATCAGTGTATGATACTGTAGTGTCAGTGTTCACCAATGTATGATACTGTAGTGTCAGTGTACACCAGTGTATGATAGTGTAGTGTCAGTGTACACCAGTGTATGATACTGTAGTGTCAGTGTACACCAGTGTATGATAGTGTAGTGTCAGTGTACACCAGTGTATGATACTGTAGTGTCAGTGTACACCAGTGTATGATACTGTAGTGTCAGTGTACACCAGTGTATGATACTGTAGTGTCAGTGTACACCAGTGTATGATACTGTAGTGTCAGTGTACACCAGTGTATGATAGTGTAGTGTCAGTGTACACCAGTGTATGATACTGTAGTGTCAGTGTACACCAGTGTATGATACTGTAGTGTCAGTGTACACCAGTGTATAGATACTGTAGTGTCAGTGTACACCAGTGTATGGTACTTTTAGTGTCAGTGTACACCAGTGTATGATACTGTAGTGTCAGTGTACACCAGTGTATGATACTGTAGTGTCAGTGTACACCAGTGTATGATAGTGTAGTGTCAGTGTACACCAGTGTATGATACTGTAGTGTCAGTGTACACCAGTGTATGATACTGTAGTGTCAGTGTACACCAGTGTATGATACTGTAGTGTCAGTGTACACCAGTGTATGGTACTGTAGTGTCAGTGTATGATACTGTAGTGTCAGTGTTCACCAATGTATGGTACTGTAGTGTCAGTGTACACCAGTGTATGATACTGTAGTGTCAGTGTACACCAGTGTATGATACTGTAGTGTCAGTGTACACCAGTGTATGATACTGTAGTGTCAGTGTACACCAGTGTATGATACTGTAGTGTCAGTGTACACCAGTGTATGGTACTGTAGTGTCAGTGTATGATACTGTAGTGTCAGTGTTCACCAATGTATGGTACTGTAGTGTCAGTGTATGATACTGTAGTGTCAGTGTTCACCAATGTATGGTACTGTA